CACAGGACTCCGGGTAGGATGGTTCCATATTCGAATATGACTATAGTCATATTTATGTATTTTTTCGAATATGACTATTATTGAATATGACTGTAATCATATTCGAATATGTTCTATCTTCTCGTTTTAAAGTTGACTTGTAATAACAAGATTCAAATTGTGATTTTTTGTGTGGATTTTCATCCGATTGTTTTCGTAAACAATAGGGAATTTTCGCTGTTTTATATAATTTGGTAAACATCAATGTTACCAGAACCGGACCAGACATAAAACCGGATAGGCTTTCGGGTCACGGTTGGACCGGTTCAACCGGGTTCGACCCGGGTTTTTTATTTCTTTAATTATTTTATTAATTTTAATATTTTAAATTTATATTTAGTATTTATATTTTATCTTTTACATGCTATTTACTTTTATTATTTATTTTTTATATATAAATTATTCTCTTTATTATCCCAACACCCTTTTTTTCTTTTATATTTGTTTACACTCTCTTCTCTCTCCCCTCTCTCTTCTCTCCATTTTTTCTCTCCCGTCACCTACCCATCATCTTCATCACTCTGTCTCTTTCTTGCTCACAAAATTTTCTAGTTTTTGTACTGTTTCTCTTCCTTTTCTTTTCATTTATTTCTTCTTTCCCATCTTCTTCTTCTTCGTTCCGTCGAATTCCGGCCACCAACGGCTAGATCTGTAAAATCCGGCCACCCACCGCCTGCTCCACCTAGATCCGGCCATCCCCGGTGGATTTCACCCAAATTCCGCCGCCAATAGCCACCAACAAAGTATTTTAGATGAAAACCCGGGTGATTGAGCGATTTCCGGGTCAGCCGGTTTTCACCGGTCGGACCGGATTTTTGTGCTTTGGCCCGGGTTTTTGACTTTTCCGGTTTTAAGCATCAGACCAGACCAGTTTTGTTGCGGGTCGCGGTCGGACCGGTCGGACCGGCCGGTCCGGTCCGGTCCTAATAACATTGGTAAACATGACTATACCACACTATATAATCGGAATTTTTAAGTTGAAAATGTAAAAAATTGCAATATAAAGAAAGAATATGTCTACATAGTCACATATAGTCATATTCAACTATAGTCATATTCGGAGTTGTAAATCTGTCGAGAAAAAAATTCAATTTTTTGTTTAAAAAAAATAAAAAAAATATTTTTATTAAAAAAAATATTTTTATTAAAAAAAATATTAACAAAATAAAAAAAATAAAATATGGGTAAATAATCCGAAAATAATAAAAAAACAAAAATAAATAAAAAAATCATTTTTTTTGATTTGGTAACAAATGTTTAGGAATTTGCAAACAGATTTTTAGGAATTAGATTATTGTTATGGAAAGAGAGAAAAAAAAGGAATAACTGAGCTAATTATTCTAATTGACATAAGGGTAGAATTGGGAATACAAATTCTAGGGGGTAATCACAAAGAAAGATTCAAGGAGTGGACATATCACCATTTATTATCTATATGAGGGGTTTATTGCTAATGACCCCTTAACTAAAATAGGGGACATCTTATTTTTGTTTCTTTCAATTATATCCATTCGTCCAATACTTATTTTCAATTAAGAAACTCTCTTTTATATACCAAAATTACTCATAACTTCTTATAAAAATCAATGTTGTAAGAATCGGACCGGCTATAAAACCGAACAACCATTTGGGTCATGGTTTTACAAGGCCAGGTTTTAATATGTTATTATTTTATTAATTTTAATATTTTAAAAATACTATTTTCTTTATAGTTTTAATTTCCCACCTATTATTTTCATTTTTATCTACATCACCCGACTTATTACTATATTTCTTTTGCTTATACTCTATATTTTTCCATTCTTTATTCTCCGAAATCCGACAATCGCTCACCCCTATTCGATCACCCATGACCATATCAGGCAATCATTCGACCATTCATGACTAGATCCGGCCATCTACGACTAAGTCTGTGAAGGTTTGCTCAAACCTAGTAAAAAATAACAAACTCAGCGGTGGTTTGAGACGTTTTGGCCGAGAAACGGGTTCCTTGACAGACTCGTCGGTTCTCCGGTGTTACCCGGTCGAACCGAATTTTGGTCATTTGACCCCGGTTCTTAGTTTTTCCTGTTTTAGAGGTTAGACCGGACCGCTTCAACGCTGGGTTACGGTCGAACCGGTCCGACCGGTCGGTTCGGTCCGGTTCTAACAACATTGATAAAAATCCCAGTTACACCCAGTTTCATGATTTGAATCCAAACTAACCAATTTTGACCCATATTCCAATTTTGACCGTTACCGCCGATAATCGTCTGTCGGCCGCCTGTCTCTGGCGTTGACTTAAAAAAAAAAAGTTTCCAGTAATATTGCTGTCTTGGTGTGTAGTATTACTGTATTACTATCCGAAAAAATAATCTTGCAAGCCAATGCAATAATATTAATGTGTTAATATTAATATTATACTATTTTGCCCTACAATATTATTTTCTCAGATAGTAATATTACTGTCAGGGGCGGACCCAGGATGATTTGTTTGGGTGGGGCAAGAGTTCATGAAAATAAATTAGAGGGCGAATATGCTACGTTCTAAAAATAAATAAGTAAAAAATAGAGTATGCTCCTGATAACTGTGTAAATATTAATATTATTGTCTTGGTCTGCAATATTACTGTTGAAAATTAGTATTGATGTGGCAAATAGGGCCATGTTATAAAAAAAAATAAAAGGACACTTA